CATCAGAGTAGAGCACTAGGAAAGGACAGTAATCTAGGAAAGTAAGTTGATACAGTGGTACTATGGCAAAACCTGAGACAAACTGTACTAAACTGGATCCAGTAAAGCTCGAATCAAGCATTACTTGCATAGATTTGACAATAGTACTAGTTTACTACTCACTAAAGATATTAAGCGTCTTTATGACTGACTCTCGTGATCTTGACTGACTTGGTGAGTCACTCACCGAAATGGGAAAGATGGGGACACCCCCTTCCACTCCTATTTCCCGATGATCCCACCACGTGAAGCACACGCCCATTTCCCCTTCTTTCCGCCCACAAAAAGCCCAAATAATAGTAAAAGGCACATGTTTGTAAACACGAAACCATTGTTTTCTTCTTTGTCTCTTCACAAAAAAGCCTATAAAGTGAACGCATGGCTTTTTCGTTATAACTCTCATTCTGGGTTATGTGTTTTTGAAAGCCTTTTAAGAAATTATTAGCTTTTCTTTATTATTAGCGTTTTGAGTTCTAAACTCAATTGCCAATTTCCAATTTTCCAATTGGGTATATGGCTGTAAAAACTTTGATTTGGCTGTTCTTATAGCTAAAAAAACTATCCTCGCTTTGATTTGACTCAAATCTGACTCAAATAAATCTCAAATTTTTAAATCAATACAACTTTTGAAATGCTGGAGTTAACCGTTAGATACTTTAATTTACTTATAAATACTTCAATTTAAATTTCAGTCTTTTTGAGCTTTTTTTGAATACTGAAATACTCAGTTTATTGTTTTTTCAAGCTTTAACAATCTTTTAAAATGCTTCAATCAGCCTTAAATGTGTCAACTTTCACATTTCAAAATCTAGATTTTTACTCACAAATCTTGCAATATGCAAATTTCAGATGGGAGGCGCTGCACCAGCCGATCCAGGAGATGAATCCAATGCCGATGAGCCACCATTGCCTACTTTTTCCGAAGAAGAGGTCTCATTTTTTTCTACACTTTTCCCAGCCGTCTTTTCCCCACTTTTTTTCTAAAGCTGATTTCCAATTTTCTCCATTTCCCCAAGAACCAGGAAATGATTGCGAAGCTTCCACTTTCACACATTAAGACTAACTATTTCAAGACAAGGAAGTTACATTAAAGAATTGAAAAAGAGTGCTTCAATTAGGCTAAAGTACCATAAAGATATGTTATTTTAAAGTTTGTTAGAAAGATTTCATGTTTAAAACTTATTGAAGATCATTTTCTCAACTACAATTTAATTGTAAGAGTTCAATTTTTCAAGTTTAGATCCACGTTGGTGAGAAATATTCGTATCACGACACGTTGAGCTCGCTGATTGGACTCGGATCGTATGGAGTCGTTTTCAAGGGAAACGATCATGGAAATAATATGCCGGTCAGTGTTTTTAAAGACTAGAAACTCCTAGGAAACCCTAGAAAATCGAATCTCGAAAGTAAAATCTGACTTAAAGCATACTGCTAACCCAAATTTTCTCGAGAACAATTAACGACACTTTCCAAGTTACGTATGCTGCTCAGTTTAAAATAATACAACAGAAGTCTAAAATTTGCCTCTAGCTTACATTAAAATCAATCAAACATGAATGTTTCCAAATTTCTTATCCTTTTTCCAACTCAAAAGATCATTAGTACACAGTTGAGTCATAAAGTCTTCCGGAACTCGTTTCTTTTTCTTTTTCTTAGAACTAAGTAACAAAATTGGCCTAATTGATGCCCATTACGCATTTGTTTTTTTTCGGAATTGATGCCCATTACGCATTTGTTGTTTCATTACACAAATCGGAAAATTCAAGAAAACTAAACTACTGAGTAGTTATGACTCAAAAGTAAAGAAATTAAAATCCAGAAGTGTCTTCATATCTAACTTAAAATAGATTTAATCTTAATAGATTAATCTTAATAGATTTAACGAATTGCAAGCCAATTCTTAGAAACTTGAACTCAAATAAGGCTGAACATTTGATTCGTGAGCCAAATTTGTACTCAATTCCCGAGAAAATTAATTTTTTCGTCTATTTTTGACTTCAAATATTATGACCATTTGGTTGTTTGACCTCCAGAAAATTTTTGTCATTATTTGTGCGCTTTTAAAGAAAATTTCTCAATGCTTCGAAGCACATGTGATGAATAGACTCTAGGAAATGAAGAAAAGAAGTAAATGGAGAAAAAAAATGAAAAGAAAAGCCAACCATTGTGTTTATGTATGAACGGAGGAGAAAATTCCAAAGAATAACGGGTCTCATGGGGATTTGCACATTCTTTTCTTCTCTTTTCTTCGAAAAAGACTCTATTTCAAATGAAAATCGGATTCTTTTCAAATACTCGCTGACGTCAATACGGAAAAATTGGCGATTCGCGAATTTGCACAGAATTTTTCTCTTTGAGTTGAAGTGCAATACGGAGATTGAATTTCTGAGGAAGCTTCCCGAAAATGGGAAAATGGAAATGAGGAACTTTGGTGCAAAAGATGATTTTTGTTCTGGAAAGATTGGGAATTGAAAAATTCCGAGCTTTCGTGCCTGAATTCAGAGAAATTCAGGCACGAAAGCACGGAATTTGAATCAAGTAAAGCGGGAACTAATAAATATCATCAAAATATTTGTAAATAGACACTAAATAAATAAGTTTTGAGAAAAGTATTAGCTAACAATGAGAAACTTATCAAACTTTTCAAATTTTCATCTGAAATTTAGGTTGCCGTGAAACGTTTGGCCAAAATGAACATCAAGGATCAAGAGCTTTCAGTGATCAAGTCGCTAAAGTCGAAATATTTGGTCGGAGTGTTGGATATTTGTGATATTGATCCGGTGAGTGGCTTTAACTAGAATTTGGCTAACAAGTCTTAATCAAAAAAGCCCTTGTCTTATTTCCTTCTCTTTTTTCCTTTCTCTTCCTCCTTGTCTTTCCTCTTTCTTCTCTAGCAAAAAGATCCCGGATAGCTCAGTGGTTAGAGCATTTGCCTGGAAAGTAAAAAGGTCGAGGGTTCAATCTCCTATCCGGAAATCTTTCTTTCCCATTCTTTACTTTACTTTATTATCACTAACTAACGATATTATATCATGGTCTGACTAGTGAACCCTTTAAAGTCTTTAAGACCAACTCAAGTATGACAAAGTATTCCGGTTCCGGTTGAATACTCGTGCTTTAGTAGAACAAATATTTATGTTTAGTCTTTAGTAAAATAGCAAAATAGGGATATTTAGCCTTGCTACTTAAATACCTTTTGACTCGTCATATTTTAGTGGAAGTATACAGTATCTTTGATACCAAAAGTTACATGCCATCTGTTTTTCACATTCAGATTTACAAATCTTAGCTCCTTTTCACGACTTTGCCCTATTTTCAGCCATTCTCATAATGTTCTTGTTCTTTTCTAGGTGACAAGCTGTGTAATCATGGAACTACTGGACACCGATCTCGACAATCATTTGAGAAAACGTGCACCCAACGGTCGACTCACTCCAAAAAATCTCAAGTGAGCAAAGAAGTCAGAAATAGAAACAGCTGCTCTTTTAGTGAATCACAAACTAGCTGAACCTTTCCTCTAAGTTTTAAGAATTTCAAAATACGTCAATAAAATCAAACACCTGAAACCAATTACCTTGTAAAACCCACTTGATTCGAGAACAATAGGATCATAAAACAAGACTAGGAAAAACAAAGCTATAAACTGAATTTAGATTGATCATCGACAATCTGGCTCGTGGATACAAGGCTTTGAATGAGCTAAGAATCGTGCACAGAGATATCAAGCCACAAAACATTCTCGTCTCTTATCAGATCAAGGGATCTCGTGAATTCTCGGGGGCCAAGATCACCGATTTTGGTGAGTAGCCTCTTCAAGATATTAAAATTGAACTTTTAAAGCCTAATCTATCTCTTTGGACTCTGAAATTTGTTTAGGAATTGCTCGAACACTTGGCGAGGCGAGCCTGTGTAACGTTGCTGGCACGTTTTACTATATGGCACCAGAAGTTGGAGCAAATTTGTTGAAGATCTGCGAGTACAACTCGAAAGTCGACATTTGGTCGATCGGATGTCTCATCTATCAGTGCCTTACCGGAGATGTGAGTTGTAAAAACCCAAATAGTCTTGTAAGAGCAAATGTTTGAACTCTAAACTAATAACTTGAATGCAAATAATATAGTAAAGAAATGAATGGCAAAGAATTTGGAATTGAACGGGAAAAAAAGGGGAATTGAATCCTCGCTGCTGTTGAATTGAATTCTGCTTACCGGGCAAATGCTACCACTAAGCCATCAGCGCCTTTTTCGCCCAAGAAGAAGTAGAAAAGACAAGGAAAAGAAGGAGTGGAAGAAGAGATAGTAACCTAACTCTTCATAAACCCAAAATTTATTCAAGAAACTTCAGATTCCCTTCGACGAGTGCTCTCTCTGTCGTCTATTCCTCTACATGGCTGGCGGGAACTATGAAGCGTATGACTACCCTGAATTACCCGAGGGAACTTCCCCGCTATCATCGATCTCATTCATTGCCTTCTCGACATCGATCCAGAGAAACGAGCCACTCCACAAGAATTCTACGAGATCGCCACCGCTTTCTCGGAACTAACTGTTATCGAGGCTCAAATCTAAGCCGGTTCATTTACCCAAGAGGTTTGAGCGAGGAAAATCTACTTCTTCAAACCCCTTGCTCATCTAGAAGTGCATTTTAGGAAACGTTGCCAAAGCTTGTTTTCAATTCAAATTTTGTTATCCAAATTGAGCTTTTCCCCAAAAACAGTTTAAAATCGTAGTTTTTCTATTGAAAAAGTCGAATCTCTTCAGCAATCCAATTTCTCAGCTTTATTTTGTTTTAGGCATTCCTTTATCCACAACAACCCCCAATTTTTCGTCATTCCAATTTTTCTCTATGCAAATATGTTATCGAATATGTGGAGTGTTCAATTTTCGGGTTTTACTTTTGTTTTAAAGTAACTTGTCTACATGTATAGTTTTTGAATGAATGAAATAAAATTTCGGAACTCACATTTCTGATGGGAACGGCAGAGCATCATCGAGGTCGTCCACCAATTTGTTCAGGCGATCAATAGCCTAAAAAAATGGATTCAGAGTCAGACAAACATTCCAGTTTTACTTTAAAAATCTAAGTTTTGTATGGAATAAATTCTGAATTCTCTGATCAAAACCGACTTGAGCAGTGCATTCGATCGTGTTCTCCTGTGCGACGAATTGCTTTGTGGCCGTGCCGAGCATCTGCAAGTTGGAAATACAGTCTATGCCTTATCGAATTAAAACATTTTATTTAATGAAATTGAGTGTGTGATTTACTACTCTTTAAATACGAAAATGACCAATTTTTGAAGTAAAGTCGAGTTCGAAGGCGTCAATTTGCTCATTGATTCTTTACAAAACGTCACAAATTTGATCTTTTCTCCTTTAATCAAACTTGATCGCCAAAACTTGTCGAACAGTACTTTTAAGCTAAGAACAATTTCAAACTTGCTAATAATTAGTTCAAAAAACTCTCCTGCAAACATTTAATGTTTGCAGGAGTTGTTTTAAACATTTAATGTTTAATCACTTCATTTTTCCTTTTCTACTTGATCTTTAAGATCGCTTTAAACTCAATTCTTCAAAGCTGGCGTAATATCAATCAAATTTCTCACCTCATTACTCCCACTAGCCGCTTGAATGTGAGAGACGAGAAGATTTGCATCACAGACCACATCGTACAATTTGCTCGGCAATTTCTCTTTACTCTCCAAAGTGACTTTGCCGCTTTGTTGATGCATTTGCTGAAACAAAAGATTTCTGAGGATTTGGGCTTTGGTACTTTAAATACAAAGTACTTTAGGCTCAAAATGCTAAGCAAATCCTTTCTGGGGCACTAAAGTCTTATTTTTTCCGCTGTGCAAACCACAGCAGAGCGGTGAGAGAGATAAAAAGTTAAGTAGTACACCAAAAAGGATTTCTTTGTAAAAATTGGAAATTGTAACTATAGTTCGAATGCCTAAAAAGTAAATTTAAGAAAAATATTAGCAATTTTAAAGGAATCGTCTTTTGTCTTTCTCTGTACTGCCAAAAACAGCTCAGCTTACGATTTGTTTTCTTTCTCAAAGTATCCACTTCATTGCTGGGAACAATCTCGTTAAGAAATGTAAACATTAATAAAAACTTTATTCAATTTTTGTAATGACTTGACATTTATCGGTATCACAATGAAGCATGACTAGACGGAAAATCGGCCTCTTTTCATCAGCAAACATCGAAAAAAAACCCGAAGCAATGCAAAAATATAGTACCATCAATTTATTAAAATGAAATTCTAGGAGAAAGTTCTTGAATGGCTTTGATATCAAACAGTGGTGACAATCCGTTGAGGCTTTGGTGTTTCTGAAAATGAGTTGTTAGTTCTAAAATTTTGATTTTATATATTAGTCTCATAACCTTCCCAGGGTAAGAATTAGTGAAAAGCAAGCATTTTTGAACTTTTTGGCTAGATAAGTCTAAAGTTTTTTAGGGAATTATGGTACTTAATCTGTTTCAAAATGAAATTCTATTGAACTTTGAAATTCTACGAATCCTGGAATAATTTGAAGTACACAATATCTACCCATTAAAATCGATCCTCATTCACCTATGTCTCCTTGTGTCTATCTTTTTTACTTTTTCGAATAAACGAGAAGAAGCCGCGCTTTTTCTTTTTCTTTTCCGATGATTGTGGTGGCTGAAAATTGTATTTGAATTTCGAGCCTTGCTGAATATTCTTTTACCTCTTCTTCAGAAAGTGTTGCATTTGAGCGACCCGCTGAATGACCTGAATAAGATATTTTAGCCTTTAGTTAGCTTTATACACTACTGGACAATGAAATATCATATTTGAAAAAAGGTCGTCACTTTCGCGAGTCTGTAACTCCCTTGTCTTTACCGTATTTCTAAATATTAATATTACCATTGTGTAGCCCTTGAAAAGAGCTTTCAGAAAATGTATAACACTAATAGTTTAAACTCAAAGACAAGGGCGTTACAGACGCGCGAAAGTGACGATCGTTTTTCAAATATGATATTTCAGTGTCCAGTACTGTAGGTGTCGTTTACTTACATCTTTTTATTATGGTTGAATCTTTAATTTCAATATCAGTCAAATTTCAAAGAGAGTTCGTTAGATTCAATCTTTTTGCTAAAACCAAAAAAATCCTGGCTTAATTTCAAATACAATTGAATCTAGGAACAACTAAATTCTAATCCAACGCTATTCTGCAAAAAAAAACACTACTAGACTCATGAAACACCACATTTGAAAAAAAGAAATCTTTAAATCGTGCTTAGACTCTCAGCCACAATTAGAGTTAGATGAATCGACAATTTTTAATTTCACTAACTGATTTCAGTCTACTGGTTGAGTATCGAATATTCATTGAAAAAATAAGAGTACATCTCGATATACTGGCCGTTTTTATGCAAATTTTATCAAAAAGGTATCAAAAAAGTGATAAACTTAAGCATTTTTTACGAATAACTTGATTATTAATTGATTATTTGCTGATTATTTTTTTGCCATGGTGCAATTTTAAGGGATTGAGATACCCTAAAGAGTTGGGGTATACCTCCTTCCTAGTATCTTTGCAACTTTGCAGAATCCTGCGGTCAGAAAGTGTTTTCAATCGAGAGTGCATACTTTAAACTATATTATAAATAGAAAAAAATGTTACAAACGCTTCAAAAAGGCTCATTATTCGTATATTTGAAAAAGAGCCAGTGTAATCGATAAGTACCAAAATAAATCATCTAAATCGTGCTTAGACTCGCAGCTACAAGCTTAACCTTGAAACATGAAACATCGGCTTTGTCGATTCATTCAATTCAATCACAATTTGTGTGTGTTTCTCGCAAGTAAAGCTTTTCTAAAAGGTGGAAAAGCTACCGCATTCTTTCCTCCAGGTTCTGTCCGTTCTACTTAATTTTTATCCTATTCTTTTAGCTTGATTCCTCATCGAATGAGATCATAATTAAGTAAATGGGAGAAAATCTGGAGAAAAGATTACGGTAGTACGATAATATTTTCCAAATTATCCACTTTTTAGCGTCATTGCTTAAAAGAAACACACTTTATTCACAATACAACACTCACGATTGTGTCTCCTTGAATCGACACGGCCGAAATTCGATGAGGTGCTCGGGGTGGTCTGTGAGCCAAAATTTCGCGGTGTCGATCGTGCACGTGAATGGTGATCACTTCCATTTGTGCGTGAAGGCTCAGAAGAATCTAATTTTCTTTTACCGATCACCGTGCCTTTCTTTCGAGTGATAAGTTTTTGGGATGATTGTTGGTTAACTATTCGTGCTCTTTTGCCAATACCGTGCCCATGCCAGAGGTAGTAGAGTTCTCAGAAAACTTTTCAAGCTTCTTTGGTACCGGATAGCTCAGTGGTTAGAGCTCAGCTCAGCTTAGCCATCTCCCCGAAAGGAAAAGGGTACGATCCCCTCTCTAGATATCTACTTTTTCTTGCCAACTTCTTCACTTCTTTATTAAAGAATCGTTGAATATTCTTGTTCACTAATGTAAGACGAAAGAAGTTAGGGTTCTTTTTAGCTTATGTTGTTAAGAAGCTCAGCTCAAAATATGTTAAGAACAAAGGTTTGTTTAAGCTTAAAGCTTTAGTACTAAATCTGTAACTCAAGCTGAAATTTGCAGAAGTTTTGAAAGACTTTCTTTGTTTTCTGAAAACCCACGACCTCTGATAGTGAGATTTTCTAATACGTTTTTTGACACTAACGAATAATGTGATTGTGTGCAACGAATCGACTCTGGATTTCTCCAGAGTTCTCGAAAGTGGTCTGACGATAGAAACGGATAACTGGAAATCAGAAGAATTGATAAAAAGAAGAAAACTAAAAGGACTAAATGCTAGTGAAAATATCATGCTAAATGATAGAACATTATCTGAAGTTTGAGCTGAAAAAGCAGAATCGTTTTTTTACCTGTAATGTCTAGGGCTTTCGAAGTGGAGAGTTCATCAATTGCATAGGAGGACTCTTCGCGCATTCGATGCTCGCGAGCGCCTTGCATCAGCGATGCTGTATCTGAAATTGGGAAATGAATTTGAAATCTGATAAAGTAGAATACAAAACAGACAATGGTTTAAATGGGTGGGTAAGCTTTTTATATTTTGGCACAGTACTTTCGTACTAAATCTGTAACTCAAAATTGTATCAGCTGATTGTAAATTCATCCTTGTTCACCCAGAAAACTGATGTCCTAATAGGATTGTAGCAGTTACTTATTTTGAAACTCTATGTTTGACAAGAGACTTTCTACAAAAATGTAATCACCTTTTTGCCATGGATAACAAAGGATTTTAACATACAGGATGACCGCGAATTATGGTTACACCTTTTTTGGGAAAGTGGCTGACAAACACTTGACTCCTTAGCAAAGTGCCAAGTGTTATAAAGAAAAATAAGGCCCTTAATCTTGGCATCATTTATCTACAAAGAACTTCCCGATTGGGATTATGAAACTCATTTTACAAGCTCTTGAATGAGCTCAAGTCGGCCTCTCTCCAGGCGATCCGCCATTTTCGACACTCTTTGACACACAATATTTTCATCTAGAAAGGGATTCCTTCAATCAAACTTGTAATATTTTATTTTAAAAGTACCATTCAACAAAAATATAACGCTAGAGAAGCTTATACAGCAAGAGCTTCTTGTCAAATAGATATTTGAAAAAGCCTAACTTTCGCTTTTTTACGGAGATTCCAAATGAACCCAGAAATCAACTCCAATTTTGGCTATGAAAGTCTAACAAAAGAGTTTGCTGTTATTCTTATTGCTATTAAATAATATTGAATGTTATTTTCTTACGAAATAAATATCGAGGAAACTTTTTAACAATTTTTTATGAAGAAAAGTGTTAAAAATCGCAGATCACCGGAGAGAGGCCGACTTTCGCTCATTCGAGAGCTTGTAAAATGAGTTTCATAATCCCAATCGTGAAGTTCTTTGTAGATAAATGATGCCAAGATGAAGGGCTTTATGTTTCTATATAACAATTGGGACTTTGGTCATAATTCAGGCGTTTCCCAGCCACTTTCCCAAAAAAGGTGTCGCCATAATTCGCGGTCATCCTGTATACCGCCTATTCAACAACAGAAAACACAAAAGCAAGGGTGAAAGCCTTATGAAAGCACAAAGGATGTATAGCGATTGAGAGATGATTGTCGACTTGGTGATTTGAAACCCAGAAAAGTTTTATTCCAAAAATGTCTTACTCGTTGTTGTTGGGATTGTGGTTTCTGAAGCTGCTTGGGTTAGTTTGTAAAAAGAGGGTTATTTTTGAGACTCACCAGCTCCGGGACTGTCAGGAGTATCCGGACGATCCGGCTCAAAGGAGGTGCCATTTGTTGTATCACTACGATAAGTGCTATAGCCACCATCTCGAGACGAGGAAACACCACGGGCCGATTGACTTCGAGGGGATTTTGATTCAACCTGAAAATGTTTTTGTTCTCAATCAGTTAAGTCAAAGGGATTAGCACAGGATAAACTAGTTGCTAAACTTTAACGTTATAAACTAGAGTGTGTTCTTGGGTTTTCCTAAAAGGATAGTTAAATCGGAAAACTAGCCTTCAGCTTTTAGCAGGTTAGCCGGAAAATCTTGTCCGCTTTTTTAAAGTTTACTTTTTGAAATGAATAATGAACCAATCAATCTATCGTTTGCTTTATCATAAAGTTCTATTACTTATTTACAAATTACCCTTCAAGAAATTCTGAGAAGCTTCTGAGATTTTAACAAAAACAAAAATTCCTGTTCGGATTTGCTTCAAAGCGGACTTGAATTTGCCTAAAAATGAGCTAAATGCTATAAATCATTTTTTATTTAAAGCAAACCACACGTTGATCGGCTAATTATTCATTTATAAATAAAGATTTCAAAAAAAAGACGAAAAGATAAGACTTTCCGGCCAAACCAATATCCGCTCTACTTAATTTTGATCCAATTCAATTTGCAATTGGATTCGTCATCGAATGGATCATAAATAAATCAATCGGACAAAGTCTAAGAGAACGATTACGGTAGTTTTCCAAATTGTCCACTTTAATCAAAACATTCAGCAAACCTCTTGAAAATATTTCCTGATATCTTCATCGGTTTCTGAAGCAAACGGATTCGGTGCATAAAGTTGGCGATAAACCTGGGAAAGAGATGATAAGATACTCTATCAAATTTTTCTAATGTTGCAATTGAAAACAAGATTCTCTACCTGTGCATTATGTTGATGTTGCCGATCAATGATTCCCTTTGAAGCGGTTCCAATCAAAACCACTCGATCAGCCGGACCAGTGATTGAGTCTCCATCACACTATAAAGAAAAGAACCAGATCTAATAGATAAATTGAGATTCTGTGATTCAAGATTAAAACTAACATTGACAGGTTTCATATCCTTGAGATCTTCATAAGTAACCCCATCGAGAATCACGGATTGAGGACCGGCTGACGTTTTGCCGCTTCGTCGGTTCTCTTTGATCGCCTTTTGTTTGTCCTAAATTTTCTCGTTGGCTAGAAAATTGACATAACCAGTGAATTTACAAGAAAAGACCGAAATGATCATACTTTGAACTCTTTCGGATTCACGCTTAACGGTGAAAACTGATGATTCGATGTGATCTTCACCGGTGTCCCATTCAATGAAGTTGCCGAAACGTCTTGAACCCACTGAAATTTGAAATAATAAATCCTGATTATTTTTTACAGACTTTCGTGATCACTTTTGGTCGATCGGTTCCCGTTTCCAAAATCTCTACTTTCTGATAGTTGTTCGGTGTGTTTAACCATCGGGTTTTCTCCTGTTCTTTCCGCAGTAAAGCGATTTTGTGAGCGGTTAGAGCTTCGGGATCGGATTCGTCAATCTAAAGATAAACTTTAAGGATTAGAAATTCAATTAATAGTAAGAAGCTTTTTAAGCTTTTCACTCACTCACCATTCCAATCGATGTACTCGCGGGCGGACAGGCTACTTCATTGCATCCATTCACTCGACTCGTTGTTGTCACCGGAGATCTTTGTCGGAGCAGTGGCTGGCGGTAGAAGTGACCCGTTCGGAAGCCCTGAAATCAAAAGATTTAGGACTGAATCAATTTACAGTTGTTTATAATCATTGAAAGTAATCCTGGGAAAGCTAACTATCGAGCTTATCAACAACGAGATTTGACTGTACTCCTGTAGCTTGAAACGAGAGATTTCGGTGTTTAAAGTTAAAATAAGCAGAGGTTTTTCTGAATTAATTTATTATTTTTAGATGGCGTGCAAGCGATATCTGGATACTCTGACAAAAGAGAATATTGTTCGAGCTCGTAAACAAGGGAGCAAAGTGGCAACAGTCTGTGAGTTGTTCTCCGTTTCGAAAACCGTTTCTCGACCTTGCAAACGCCAAAAATTGGAATGGGAAATGCACCGACATGCGGAAAGGGTCGACCACCAAAAACAACAAGGGAGGATCTTGCATTGATCAGGATGTTCGTGAAGAAAGCTTCAGTTATCATTACCGTCATTGGCTTTTTAGCTAAGCCCTTCAGTTTTTGGATTTCTTTTTTTGTTCTTCAAACCATACCGCATTATCCAAAACTCTCATCCAAGCTTCCCACTCCAATTCGCCGACTTTCCACTCGGGTTCCTCTTTAGAGTTGTTATTTTGAGACGGTGAGCGGAACATTCCACTACCTGGAGATATAAAGATTGTCTGATATTTTCACAAATTTTTTGATATTGGACAAACAATCTCTTTGAAACTAGGTCACGAACCCTTTCTCGCTTCCAAGTACGCCTTTTGAATGGTCGTTTCATCGGGGATATGCAACTTCTCAATTCCAGCTCTAGCAGCCCGGATCTGAATGATGTTTTTGAGAAATTTTATACAATTTTTCCAATTTAGCTTCATTTTCTTCGATAAAACCTGATGATCCGCTGCAGCGATCAAATTTTTAATTAGAAAAACGGCCTCCTCAATCCCTTCAGTGGCAATGATAAAACCCTGTCCACGAAGGATGAGAATCTAAAAAAAAATCCGAGAAATGGACTATTTTCAGCAAATTTGAAGGAAAAACAAGCGATAGAGCTGAAAAATGAGAGAAAATTCAACTATCATGCACCGGTCATCAGGTTTTACGGAAATGGAAAAAGTCTATACAGGGTGGCCGGAAGTTATCGTTTTGTTGGGCCGTATCTTGGCTGTAGCTTCGCAAACCGGTTCAATTCCTTTTCAATATGAAAATTGCGAGAATTTTCTACGCAGAATTTCTTTATACAACTTGTAGAATGTTTTTGAGATTTTTATTAAAAGTTTGAAGGATGTGCCCAAAAGAACTCTTGACACGCAACATTATTCAAGTTCTTTTGAGTTTATTTTTAAACTGAAATCGATTTTCTCGCATTTTTGATAAATTTAAGCTTTAAGAATAACATTTAGGCAATTTTTTCAGTTAACTTTGAGCTTAACCGATGAAATTTGCCAGTTTCAAGAAAAATTCATCTTCAAGAAGCCGATCCAGAGCTCCATCCAGATTCAGAATCATCCAGAGCTCATAAAAACAACACTTGGTTGAAGATTTTTGTTGAAAAGCATTTGTTTTGAGCTTTTTAACAAGAAAATAGTTAAATAAACCATCAAGAACCCTTAAAACCTTTTCAAGAAAAGCTGCAGATTGAGTTGCGCGCCAAGAGTCCTATGGGGCCCAAGCCTTTAATGAAAACCTCAAGAGTATCCTACAATTTGTTTAAAGAGATTCTTTGTAGAAAATTATTGCAATTTTCATATTAAAAAGGAATTAAACCGGTTTGCAAAGCTACAGCCAAGATCTAACCGAAAAGCTGCGAGGCGATAATTTGTGGCCACCTTGTAGAGTTTGACATTGGCCCATGAAACTTTCAATACTTGTATTTTGTTTGGATTTTTGCCTTATTTCAACACCTGTGTCTCACAGGCCAAAATCGTGTTATAGGCCAAATGGAGGGCCTCCTCGATCGATTGGCCACAAGCGACAAAGCCTTGATTTCGAATGATCATCACCTTGAAATGGGTAAAGTGAAAGTACTATTTGGCTATGTCTTCAAATCAATAATCAAACTTATTTGCTAAAGCAACTTGGCTACCGTAGCCTTAACAGGCTTATTTAAAATGATAAATCTATTGCATAGAGATTCTGGCTTGATTACGATATCTGGGACAAGCTTTAGAGCGTTTATCCAAGTTGGAAAGCGTTTACACTTTAAAACGGCTTTTAAAAAGCGACTATTGCTCATAGAAACAACCGAATAGTGTACCCAAAGATTCATAGAGAACCAAAAGATCAAAAAGATTCATGCAAAGCTGGTATTGCACATTACTCTTTCATAAAAACCCACGTTTTTGTCGCCCAAATCTTCTATTATTGATTGTCTCTCTTTTTCATCATCTAATGTTCCCTGGAAATTGAGGATTGATTTTCAGAAAAGCGAGAAGAAACGTTAAGGATTACTTTTGCTCGAAGAGATATTTTGCTAGCTACAATTCACTCGTTACGGTCGTATTACAATTCACTTTAACATTTCAATCACTGAACTAACTTGATATTCATGATAGGCGACCGCTCCAATGACCATCGCTTCTTGACAAATCGGCAACAATCCGCATTTCATCGAGCTCACAGCAGAGACGACCGCGTTATGCATATGAATCACACAATGCACGTCGTCTCTAGCACCGTGAATCGCCGAGTGAAGTTTGAAAGCGGACTGAAAGAATTCGCTTACTCTATCATATTTAAATCTATCATTCATTATCTATGTAGTAGCTTCAGTTCAAGCAATTGTAAGTAATGCAAAAAAAGAGCAAATTTTGCAAAGAAATCTTTATGTTACAACATTATTTATCATTATTTGACTTGTTGATTTGCTGAGCTTGATTTGAAAATATATTAAGTTTGACTTCAAGACTCACCTCATTTATTCCAAGTTTTGTAGCTCCTTGATCCAAAACCTCTCCATCTAGATCAACCTTTATTAAATACGAGGCAGTGATCTCGTGATACAATAATCCGAATGGATTTATCAGAATCTCGTTTAATGTCGATGGATGTCGAACCTAAAACGGGATGAAAACAAAAAAGATCTATTATTTTACCGTTATATGATTGTAGATCCCCTGGCTCCATTGGAATAGATCTACAAGTCGATAGAGTGACGCTAATTTATTTCTGAGGATTTTCTCTTGTCGTGAGAAACGGTCGATTCCTTTCAAATCGGCGATCGGAAGTGATGAAGCGGCTAGAAATTTGGGAATAGATGAGTTTTCCAGGAGGAAAAATCGATTGCCTTGCAAGGGTCTTTTGAACTAAAGTGGCTCTTTCCTCTTTTCGCGGGTTTTGCATAGCAGATGGCCAAAGGCAACGATGAAAAGGGCTACAAAGAGGGGAAATATTGACCCCAAAATGGAAGTGACATCTAGAGAAATGTGATAACTCTTCTAGTATTTAATCGTTTGTTATTTCAGTAATATTTTTATTGATTTACCGGGTACTAAAATCATAGAACGGATTAATGGATTAAAAGAAGAGAACGAAGGGACTACTTTGAGTGTTATCTATCATTTGAAAGCTCTTAATGAATACCACAAAATAGAATAGCTAAAGCAAAAAATTTGTGTGAATCTTGGAAAAATCTAAGGGCCTGAACGTGACACTTCTGAAAAAGGTGATCTTCTGTTTTAACATCAACTAGAAAAGTTATTCTACTAGATTCAATCTGCATTAAATACATGAATAAAAACCTCACCAATTAGTACATACACTTAAGGAAAATGTTCTGATTGAAACTGAAAAAACGTAAATATCGAAAACTAGTGTGTTTTGAGAGAAACATTCAAATATTTAACAGATTAGACTGAAAACTTTCAATAATTTTGTTAAAACATTCAAAATGTATACTTTTAGAACAAAATCCAGTTAAAAAACGCTATTTTTAAAATTAACTCGGTCCAGGTCCTTTAATTTTTCCAAGATTCACACAAATTGTTGCTTTAGCTATTGTATTTTGTAGTATTCATTAGAGAAATTTGGTTCCTTATCTCTACAAATTTGGTTCCTTATCTCTACAAATTTGGTTCTTTATCTCTACAAATCTTGTTCCTTATCTCTGCAAATTTGGTTCCTTATCTCGACAAATTTGGTTCCTTTTCTCTCTAAATTTGGTCTCTAGAGAGCTCAAACTTTCAAATGATAAATAACACTTGGAGTATTCTCTTCATTTTCTTCTTTTAATTCATCAATAAGCATCCATTCTATAATTTTGCCGTATCCTGTACTCACAATCAGTTTTAATTCAGTGGACATTTTATTGACTGTAATTTAAGGCAAAGAAAGATAGGGTTTATAATGCATTGATGAAGACGCAATGAAAGCTTTAAAGCGAAATAATGTTTAGCATCAAGGGATTTTGTTTTCAGCCTCGTGGAGCTTTGTTTTCATTTCAAATTGAAGATCCAACCTAAGCCTAGCAATGATCCTGCTCTATTCAACAAATAATTACCATTCTTACCCTATTAGCAATGTTAGAAAAA